AGAATTTTGAGGATTCACTGAGATGACAGCTGGCTACAGGATTCTGAGGATTCACTGAGAACTATGGTAAACTTCTGTACCAATGCCAGACTATTGTGCACACTACAGGCCTCTTCTGCATTTAGTCTGTAAGCCTGCAAGGGATGAGCCATGAAACAGGCCCTTAGCTAGGATTTTCAGTATCTGTACTGATAGAGATTGTATTTGCATATTGTAGAACACATGCTTCCATGATTTGTTTCCCAACAAATTTGTAATTAGTATAGAATAATGCTACTGAGCTCAGACACCTGTAATCCCAGTCACAGTGGCTTGGGCGGCTGAGGCAAGAGGATCACAAGTTCAAAGCCAGCCTCAGCAATTTAGCAAGGCCCTAAGCAACTTATTGAAACCCTGTCCCAAAATAAAAAATAAAAAGGGCTGGGCATGTATCTCAGTAGTAAAGTGCCCCGGAGTTCAACCGCTAGCACCAAATAAAAAAAATGGAAAATGCTATTAAGGCAGGCAAGATGGCTGATAGAGGTAACCAGCACTTACCTGCTCCTCCACAAAGAACCAAGGCAACAGGTGTATAGGGGCATGTTGAGATGAGTGACCACGGGATAACATTGGAATTCGACGGTAGAGAAATTAAAACCTTGTAAAATGTAGAGACCTGGGACAGCAGTATAGCAAGAGAAATGAAACATCCCATCACCTGCCTGCTGGTTCCACAGCTGGGGTAGGGGGAATGTCCCATGGCAGGAGTAAAGGTGAAAGAGGGAAACCCAGCAAACTCTGTCCTTACAAGTACTGACAGCCCTTGCTATTGGCAAGTTTCATGGCCCCCGCCCTTGCAGGCTTACAGCCTAAAGGGACGAGAGGCCTGAGGTCTACACAGTAGTCTGGCTTTGGAAAAAGGAATTCACATCTTCTCTCAGTGAACCCTCAGGATCCTGTCGCCAGGAGCCATGTTGAAAAGGGAACTATTGTCTGAATTTAGACTGCTTTGGGGGTCAGAATCCCATGTATATTCCCATCTCTGGAACCCCACAGATGTAGCAGTGCACTGGCTCACTGCCTCATGAATCAGACTTGGTTTGGAGGACTGGCTCTGACACAAACCAGCTGAGTGTGCTACATAGTGGGGAATGGGCATTGCAATGCAGAGAGGAGCAGAGGGTGCTGTCCACTAGAACCAGAGGATCAGGGAGCCTGCCCTCTCTGAGATCAGGAACATGACCAGCCATGTGTGGTTTCACATGGGAGCCAGGACTGAAAACTGTCACCCGCAGGGTTCCCACTGCTTCTCTCCCAGCACCTCACAGGGGCAACTGTCATTAGCAGGGTAGAGAAGGAACTCTTGAGTTTCCACTTCTCCCTCACCCACAGAGGTTGTTGGAGCAGATTTGAGCAACTCAGCTGTGGCCCTGGCCACAGCCCCACCCCTGAGTTGCACAGCCTAAGAAATTCCACAGAGAAACTTTGCCAACTGACACCATCTGCATTCCAAACTCACCCTCCCTCCTGCATGCCTCTGAGCAGAGAGGAATTTTACCCAGACCCAGCTGTAACCCACACCCACTAGGTCCTTGGGGGGTGTTACAGATGAAAGAAAGGGAGGGGGAGAGAAAAGCCCCCAGCCATCACCTTGTCATTAGAGTGATCAACCTAAGGGAGTATGGTGGGAAACTGCCCAGCTGTGCCAGATGTATTCTGCTTTCTCCCTCTGATGCAAGCACCTCTGCTGACAGGAAATTTTCCCAGCTTCAGCTGTGTCCCACTCCAGTTCAATCCCTGATGGGTGCTACTACAGAAAGATAAGGGACAGAAAAGCCCTTGGCCATCATTCCATAGCCAGATGTGCATATGTGATGTGGGGATCGGAGTGAGGTCTTGTTCCTGGACAGGCATGCCCCAGAAGTTGCAGAGAGAAAAAACACAACATTTTCTGCTTCCACATCTATGCAGGTCCCCTGCCTCATTCACCCCCTTACCTTATACACACTACTGAGAAGTCTTGGTGTGGAAGTCACAGAGGAGTAGCTGTGATTCCTGGTCCTCGCCTCATCCCATGAAGCACCTGGGCTGGCACCAGTGTATAATGAGAGGACTCCTCACCACAACCGGAACAGCCAGTACCAGAGTCCCATTCCAGTAACAGAGCCATTATCAAGAGTGTCTGAGGAAACTCCCATCACCCAAAAGGAGCCACCACTCCTACTCTAGGAGTAACCACACAGGTGCACCCACTGCAAACTACACCATGCCTCCCTACACTGACAGATTGTCCCCACTCTTCCACAACCTGCAGCGACTGGATTTCTCCAACTCCATACAGAACACACTGTGCCCAGACTCACTAATCACAGCCAAAGAAGCGACAGGGGGATTATACTCCCTCATTCAGCTGGAAATAAACTCAGCATTGCAGGACAGACTGACACCCCAAACTACATCTTCAGGAGAAAGCAGCTTATGCTGAAGGCCTTCCCATAATAGTAGTAGAGGTATCCATTTCACCAACTGTGCAAATCTCAACCTAGGAACAGAAGAAATATGAGAAAAAATAAACAAGGTAGGGGCTGTGGATATAGCTTAGAGTGCTTGCCTCACATGCACAAGATCCTGGGTTCAATCCCCTGCACCATAATAAATAAATAAATAATAAATAAATAAGCAAATAAACAAGGTAATATGATAACTCCTGAAGTTTATAACTCTAGTGAAAAACTCCAAAGAAAGCTGTGGTTGTGGCTTAGTGATACACACTTGCCTAGCATGTGAGGCACTGGGTTCAATCCCCAATGCCATATAAAAAAGAAAAACACTAAAGAAACAAAATAAAGGTATTAAAAAAAAACAAAGACTCCAAAGATATCAAAGTGGATGAAATCCCAGATCAAAAGTCATAGAGAATGATATTTTAAAAGAAAAACCAAGTTCACTGAGATTCAAGAGAACACAAATAAACTGTTAAATGAAATTATAGAGAGATGATCCAGAACATGAATGCAAATTTTAATAAATCAATAAAGAGATTTTGATTTAAAAATCAGAAATCTTGGAAACGAGGAGTCGTATAGTGAGATAAAGTGTTCAATCGAAAGACTCAAGATGCATGCAGTGTATATACCTGTAATCCCTGCTACTTGGAAGGTCAAGGCAGGAGAATCACAAGTTCAAAGCTTGTGTTAAATTTCCAGTACCATGCAATAAAGGGAAAAATATTGAGAAAAGGAATAAAGCCTCAAAACCAAGCAGCAGAAAGCAAGTCAGAGCTTAAAGACAGGTCTTCTGAAATACCACTAATAGTAAAAAAAAAAAAAAAAA